GAAGATGGGGGGCAGGGCGGGGGTGGGGCGCCAGAGCGGCGGCCCCCCCCAGACCCTCGCCCCGGCACTCACCAGTCCTTGACCTCGATGTCCGGCCGTGTGGTGTCCATCAGCTCCTCCCAATACCCTTCGGCCTTGAGGTCCACCACCTGGGACTTGAGGCAGGTGCTGGGGTGGGAGGGGCCGGGGCTCACCACTAGGGCACTGAGGGGGCTAGGACTGCCCCTCTCCAGGGTGGGAGAGACCGTAGGGTGAATGATGTGGGTTTCCCCCCACCCGTGGCCCTGGCTCTTACTAATAGGAAGTCACGAAGTATTTCTTGACCTGGTCATTGGGGAACTCCTTCCTCTGGTCTCGTGAGAGGTCCTCCACCTTCCACTCATCGCCGCCATTCACGTCCAGGCTCCAGAACTCGAAGCCCTCTGGGGGGACAGCAGAGGGCACCATGATGGGAAGCCTGGGGCCACCTTTCCCCAGGTGCCCCTTCCCACCCGCCCTCTGCCTGGAGTCCTGTACTTGGGGACACTGTAGTCAACAGTGCCCACCTCGTATGCGGGGCTTGCTGCATCCCAGGCACAGTGAGTGACTTTCCTGGGAATCCTGAGACACAGGATGATGTGAGCCACCAGGCAGGCCCCTCCTGTGACAGACAACACTTTGATGCAGGCCACACAGACCTGAGTCTTGTCCCAGTTCTGCCAGTACTGGGCTGTGTGACCCTGGACAAGTTGCTTTCCTTTTCTGAGCTTTGGTTTTCTCCTGCATAAACTGGAATAAGAGCAGGGACTAGGAAACTTTTTCTAAAGTGACAGCATATTTTAGGTTTTGTGGGCTACATGCTGTCTCTGTCACATTGTTTTCTGGTAGATTTTCTTTTTTCACTCTTTCTTTTTTTAGAGCCAGGGTCTTGCTCTGACACACAGGCTGGAGTGCAGTGGCATGATCATAGCTCACTGCAGCCTTGAACTTCTGGTCTCAAGTGATTTTCCCTCCTCAAACTCCTGTGTAGCTGAGACTGCAGGTGTGTGGCCCCACACCTGGCTAATTTTTATTTCATTTTTTTGTAGAGACAGTGTCTCCATATGTTGCCTGGGCTGGTCACAAACTCCTGGCTTCAACAGATCCTCCCACCTCAGCCTCCCAAAAGGCTGGGATTACAGGCATGAGCCACTGCACTCAGCTGCTTTCTTTTTGTTGTTGTCGGTATAAATTTTAATAAGGTAAACACACTGGGCACGGTGGCCCATGCCAGTAATCCCAGCACTTTGGGAGGCAGCAGTGAGAGGACTGCCTAAGCCCACAGATTCGAGACCAGCCTGGGCAACTTGGCAAGCCCTCATCTCTGCAGTAAGTCAAAAAATTAGCTGAGTGTGGTTTTGGACTTGGAAGGCTGAGGCGGAAGGATCGCCTGAGCCCAGCAGGTTGAGGCTGCGGTGGCTGTGAGTGTGCCACTGCACTCCAGCCTGGGCGACAGAATGAGACTCCGAATCAAAAAAATAAACAAAAAATGAATAAAAAGGTAAACACTGTTCTTGATTCCTCAGCCAGAGTTGGCTCAGGGACCACAGTTTGCCAAAGCTGGTCAAGAACATGGCTATTGGGGAGTCATGGCCAGCTTGGAAGGGCCATGCTCCAGAATTTGGCCACGTGAGGCATGAGGCTCCCTCGCCATCCCTGGATCCGTCCGGCACATCGCCATACAGCAGGGCGGGAGGGGTCCCAGGTGGCTGCAGAAGTCCCACTTCCCCTGTTGCTGCAACATGCTGGGAAGAAGACTGGGCTCCCCATTCTTCCACAAGCACCCCCCACCCCATCCCACCCTGTGGGACAGTCTCAGTGGGTCTCACCCTGGAGCCTGGGAATGAGGCCAACAAAACGTGGCTCTCCCTTCCTGGTCCTGTGTCCCGAGCACAGTGAGTTCCAAATGGTCACGGTTCCCTTTCCTTGGAAAGGTTGCTGGGAAGTAGCCTTAAGAGGGGAACAGGAGCCGGGCTCAGTGGCTCAGCCTGTAATCCCGCATCTTTGGGAGGCTGAGGTGAGTGGATTGCCTGAGCCTGTGGGTTCGAGACCCGCCTGGGCAGGTGAGACCTCATCTCTACAATAAATCAAAAAATCAGCCGGGCGTGGTAGCGCATGCCTGTAATTCCGGCTACTTGGCTGAAGAGGAAGGATCGCCGGAGCCCAGCAGGTCGAGGCTGCACTCTAGTCTGGGCAACAGAGTGAGGCTCCAACTCAAAAAAAAAAAAAGAAGGGAACAGGAAACGCTACTCTTGGCGTCAGTGGGCCCGTCTGAAAAACGGGTGCACTGCCCATGCCTACCTCTTAGGGTTATTGTGGGAGGATTAAAGCAGCCACGCCTGCCAACATGCCCGGCTCATAGTAGGTGCTCAGTCAGCGTCAGCTGGTGTCATGGCCGTGTGCACGCACACCAGGGGCATGCCAGACCTCCCCCCGCCCCCACCTTCAGCACATGGGTTGTGCAGGAGATTCCTGTGGAGGCTGCGCAGGAAGTAGAAGATCTTCCAGTCGGCCACGGGCTGGTCCCAGTCCTCGGTGATGAAGCCTTCGCGCAGGCACTTGCGCTTCCAGAGGGTCACCAGGTCGATGAGGTCACGCCAGAGGCTGCAGACCAGGCGGCAGCGCAGGAGCAGCTGGCGGGCGGGCACGTGCGTGAAAAGCTCCAGCAGGATGTTCTCCGGCAGCTCGTTGATGTTCCCCACCGCCATGGTGCGGGCTCAGGGCCCCTCCTGCGAAGTGGGAAAGCCACGCTGCAGGCCGGGCCCTCTCCCCAGACCCTGTGTCAGTTGCAGCACGGGGGGGGGGGGGGGGGGCGGAGGCCATTTGCTAACCCAGGGGGACCCTGTGCCTCTCCCAGCCTCAGATTCCTCCTCGGTACCTGGGGCCCCTTACCTCCAAGGGTCACTGGGGCCCTCCAGGGGGCTTGGGACGCTGCAGACGCTCGGTACCAGGCGAGCGCTGATGCTTTTCACTGGCACCTCACAGCCTCCTCTAAGGAGGCTAGGGAGGGAGGCCTGGGGGGTGGAAGGTGCTGCCCAAGGTCAGGCCGACAGGCGGAGCCGGGAGAGGCCCGGTCTTCTCTGACCTAGGGCCAGCGTTTTCCAACAGGCCGGGCAGTCTGGAGGCGAAGTACTGCCCCCTGCAGACCCCCCCGCAGCCGCGCCTTCCCCATGCTCCCGCCCACGGAGGGATGGGAAGGGAAGGAAGGGGGTGGCTGTCGCTGCCTCCCGCGGAGTCCCAGGGCTCCAGCGACGTTTTCCAGGCCACAGAGGACGCGATCTGCCCAGCTGGGACTGGCGAAGGGGTGGGCGTCCGGGAAGGCCCCTTCCGAGCTCCCCACCCGCATCCCGCGGCTGGGATCCAGGCCCGTTCCCACGCTGTGGCTTTCAAACGCCCCCCCCCGGTGTCGGGGATCCGGCC